GGGCTTGGGTTCTGAGGTTGCATTTTGTTCGTTCTCGTCATTTTGTGTAGCACTGTCTTCTGACCTTTGTTGTAGATCTTTGCTGTAGCAGGAAGCTCTCCACACACTTGGCTTTATGTTTTATACCTCATGTTTATACTTTTCTGCTGGATGGTTAAGACCAAGAAAAAGCAAGACCTATATAACAAGAAATGCAACTTCTGTATCTGAAAAGGTCAGTGAAATCCCCTCAGGATTTACTCTGAAACCCTGTACAGCAGTTTGTAGATCTTTTGTCAGTGTCAGCCATGTGGATGGATCATGGCCATTGCTTGACCATTTTGCTGTCTGTAAAAGCCTTTAATATCATTAAGCTTCTCTTCTGGAGGGTTAACATAAGTTTGCTGACCAAAAATTAGAAAAAAAGAAGGGCTACAAAGATTGCCAACATTTTGGCTCTAGCTCTTCACAGTCAGTGAGGACTCAGGACATAAGAGAGCCTGTACTGTAACATCCTGTAACTCAGTGGTGTTCCAGATTTTCTGTTCAAGGAGAGTATGGGGCCACAGAGGAAAGTGACCCATGATGCAGAGTGGGCCTAGCTGGCTTTTTTCAACACTGCTCTGGTGGGGGAAGGAAGGCTACTGACTTATCGACAGGTAGAGGCAGCAGTCTAGTTTGCCCATTTGTCCTCTACTGAGAGAGGTAGGGAGAGCCATCCCCTCCCAGTTAGAAGGCTGTGAGGACCTCTCTGAGGCCCCCTCAGTGCTTTGCACCACACTGAGGCTTTAGGACTCTTTCCTGCTAGGCAGTGAAGAAAGTTCTCACTCTACTTGGTCCCCTGAACATGACACTGGCAAGGAGACTGAGGGCCCAGAAAAGGCGGCAATCTAGGTGCCCTATTCGCTTTTTGTTCATATGGGTAGAGTTTTGGCCAGTTATCTTCAGGGACTATTTAGCTAAAGTATAAAAATTGTTTTAAGGTTTTCTCTCTCTTTTTTTGAGAGAATATTGCATGTTTTTAATTACACATGAACACAGATGTTGATCTCAGAAAAGCAGAAAATTAAATGGGGTTACCAGAGCCTAGAAAGTGTATAGGTAGGAAAGAGATGCAGAGAGGAAGGTTAGTGGGTACAAGCTGCACTTAGATGGTAGGAATAATGCTAATGTTTTGAAGTATAGCAGGGCAACTATGACTGACAACAGTTAATTGTAAATTTCAAAATAGTTAAGCAAAAGATTTGTTCCCAATTTAAACAAGTAGATTTGACTTATTACACATTGTATACACATATTAGAATGCTACACTGTACTATATCAATTCATAAAATTATTGTGTCAACAGTTTTTTAAAACAAGCTATTG